ACTCTACAGGCCCCTGCCATTGCTAACCAACCTCCAAGTCCATCTTAAACATTATCTGAACTTCGATATCTTCAATGGATATTGGGGAGCTACCCAAGTTCACCAGGGTCTGCATCTGATGGCTGACCCATTTCTTGTCTCCTCTTTCCCGGCTGGCCTTTGCCAAATGTAACTGATGTCTAGAACAAAAATCAAAACTTTCTAGATCTCTGTAGACTTGAATGCATCAAAGCCATATATTGACCGACACCTCTGGCTACGATTGTTCCTTACCAGGATTCAAAAACAGTATGGCAGATGTCCGTCTTACAGAGGGAAAAAAGCAAACCTTTGATAACTTATTACCTAGAATGGTTCATGGCATAATTCTGCTCAATGATAAATGGATTCTTTCTGTAGACACCTAATTTTTCTTGGAGCTGGATCTTTCAACTTTGAGATTTTCAACTTTTTATTTTTTTCTGGGGCAGGCCTTTGTCTCAATTTTTAAGGTTCTAGGCTTTTCCTGTGTGGCCTACCAGATTACAGACTTTAAAATAAGAATACCACTTCATTTCCTACATCAGGAGACATTTATAGGTCTAACCTCTATTCCCTTTCCCTATCCACCATGTGTGAGAATAACCCTATACGAAATAGCCCTGTGGACATGCAGAGTATGAACTTTGGATCAGGCTTTCTCTGAGTTCAAATTCTGGCCACGTGACCTTGGGAAATTATTAAGCCCTTAATGCCTTGTTTCTTTATATGCAAAATTGTGAAGCAATAACAAGAACCTTAAAGTTGTTTTGAGCATTAAATAAAATTTTACCTACAAAGTGTTTAAAACAATGCCCGGTACATGTTAAATGTTAGCTGTTTTCTGTATACACACTAGATTTTTGAGTGACATCACGTTTTTAAGATAGCAGCATGCCTGGGTGCACTTCTCCACTCAAGAGGCTCCCTAGCCAACCCCGTTCTTTGACATCTCGCTAAAAGCACCTTGAATGTATTTATCTGTCTTCACCTTCCTATGAGCGATTGTGCTAATTCTGCAAGCAGAAAATATACTAAAGCCAAAATGGACTTGCCAAGGACAGTGGAAAGTTGTAGGAGGCTCCCTGTGCATGGGCAACCTTCTGTAGGTGGGAAGGATATGGACATTTCTGGCTGAGTCTCTGGCACCCTATCACAGTTCATTTCCCAAAGAACTTTCCAGCTAAGACGACCCATCTTATGCTTTCTTTCTTTCTTGCCTTAATGACCTGGGCTGGGCAGTAAGACTTAGGGGGTTTGGGAGGATCCCCATCCTTATTTTCTGTTCCTTAAGCCTAGAATCATCCAATCTTTCAGACTCCGTCCTCTGAAGCCCACAGGGCCCATCTAACTCAGATTCCTGGAAGACTAAGGAGCCTAGTGAAAGAAGATTCTTTCTTACCTCTATCCTTCTTTCTTTTGTTCCCTTTACTTCGGGGAGAAGTCTGATGACAGACACTATAAACCCAGGAGACATGACCCAGATGGGGTCTTCTCAATATCTTTATGACATACTGTGCCTGATTCAATGAGACACAATATCCTTCTTTCCCCCTTTGGTCAGCCTGTTTTAGACCTGGGTTTACTCTCTTTATTTCTTTATCTATGGGGATTTTAAAAAATCATATGTACTTGGCACCTATAAGGACAGAGCATCGTCATAGTCAAGGCTACCATTTATTGATTTCTTAGTAAATGCCAAGAAATGTGTGCACACTGTTCTATTTGTTCTTTACAACAACCCTGAAAGAGAGGGGGATGACATTACTTTCATCTTACAGAGGGTAATCAGAGGGTACTAGATGTTAAGTAATTCATCCATATCACACAGTTAATAATGAAAAAATCTGGAATTCAGACCCCGGATCCCTCCTTCCAAAGTCCATGCTCTTGCCCACAGGGCTGTGCTGCTCCCTAGAAGAATCGAGATGAGCAGGACAGAGAGTGGAGTCATCCCGTCATGCTGCTGCCTCTTCAGCTGCACACAATCCAGCTACCAGGCCTTTATCTTCCCTCCATCAAGATGTCATATGATTACATCTCCAACCGGTCAACCCCCCAAAATACCATTTGCATAGCTAGACAGACCACTCATAGGTGCGCCTGTGCTTCCCATTTCTCACACCACCACTCCCATTGCATGATCACTTGGCTTCCTTTCCCAGGTTATGTCCCAGGGGCATGCTAACTATATCTTAGCACTGATTCGTTGATAAAATTCCTTCATGGAAATACTGGAAGTTGGATGGGAAGTCTTATCTTTATTCCGTAGATGAGGAAAGAGCTCCACAGAGTCAGTGAATGGTTTAGCTTAGGTTATGAGGCTTGGATCATTCCAGAACCTATTCCATGATACAATCTCATGAAAAATACAAAGTGTGGTTTACATAAGTTCCACGCAAATGTAAGGTCCTGGTAGACTGGGAAGAGTTAAACAAGGCAGAATTCACATCAGTGGGACTGCTTTGCCAAGATGAAGATTTGTTACCTAGCCTACCCCACATGGAGCCTGATGATGAGCAGGTGAGAACTCTGTACTCCCTGCTCCTCATCTCCTTCCCCTAACTTTTATCCTTACCCTAACTCCTTACTTTTTGAAAATATCAGTGGACATTTGATGTGTGTTCACTGTGAACATGTGATGCTGCCTCCCATAAGAAAGCAATTTCAGATGGGAGAGTGGTGATTACATGCAGCACAGCAGTCTCTCTGTAAAAGCAGAAGTGGATGTTCAGCTGTTATTTCTTTTGTTGCTGACGTTTTGCCACCGATACCTAGCAGGTCTCATTCTGTCCATACGCATTCCCTGCTCCGGCTCCTTCACTTAGTAAACTAGGAGAGTAGCCTGGCATCTAAGGCTACTGATGCTAGAAGATGCCACTGGAAGTAGAAGGCATGCCCCACCAGCCCTGATCCCGAAGCCCGTGCCTCCCCTTTCCCCCTGGTCCACACCAATGGGAAAGGTCTTTCTAAGTGAAAGAGAATCAGGTAAGGAAGAGAAAATGGAGTGAGGCTTTCATCTTTTAGGGCTCCTTCCGTGGAGCACCATGAGAAACATCTTGCATGCCTGCCATCCTCGCCAACCACTGCGAAAAAAAAAAAAAAGTGGTGTCAGTTCTCTCCCCACAGTGGAATATTAAGCCTCTTGCTCTGCATCCTGATAAATTCTGAAGCCCAAGAATATAGTTCGATACCCCCTCACAGCCTACTTTAAATATCAGAGGATGCAACTTGGCCCTGTCCCAGTCTTTTGAGTGTCCTCCAAGACTGATTCTGGATCTCCTATAGGAGGTGCTTATTTATTGCTGGAGGATCCTTAGACCCAAGATGACTTGAAAGCTAGCGGGTCCTGGAAAGAGACCAACCTCTCCCCACCTCCCAAGGTGCTGCCTCAGAGCCATCCAAGGAAGATGAGAAAAATTAACAATTACATCAGACATAACAAAGTCTCTGGGTTAAAAAAGTGTCAGGAAGCTGTCCCCATCTCAGTGTGTACTCAGCTTTTAGCACCATTTCTCCACTGTGCATCTCACAGCAGGCTCCATCTCAATGCTTATTTTCCTAGAGAATCTAAATCCCACTTGCTACAAGCAATCTCCAAACTCGAACCCTTTAAAAAGAAAATCTTGCTGTGTCTCTATAAGGTAAATGTAACCTTTTAGGTGGTCAGGATTTTATGCTGTACTATCTGTGCTTCTGACCAGTGTGGGTGAGAGTAAGAGGTGGGAATAATCACACATAAACCCTCATCTGCAGACCCACTGTGCATGTACATGGTGGAGACAGACTCTGGCTGGGAGCACATGTTTCCTCCCTATGTGAATGTCTATGTCTCCCTCTTACTAGAAATATTAGCTCTTGCCTTAGTGAAGGCCTTGGCTACGTACCACAGAACCAATCACCTCCTAGACCAGAGGAAAGGGAACTAACTGCCTTCTAAATTATGGAACTTAGAAGCAATCAGGTGACTGCCATACTTCCATCAGTCTTTCTTCTCCCTTTCTTTGCCCTCTCCTGACCATCCCCACCTCTACACATACCATCTACTCCAACTTCTCTCTGTATTTGTCTATAAGCTTGGTAGAAGATTTTTCACTCATACAAATAAATAGAAGAGTCACTTTAACTAAGAGACCAACAAATTTGGAACAATTTCTTGGGACAATAAAAGCCCTATACTGAGACCCTGACCTTGACAAGAGACAACCTGTATGTCCAAAGAAAGGCGTAGTTGTTTTTGACACTAATATCTGTATGTTTCTGTCCCTGCAGCCTTAGGAAAATCCAAAGGTACAGTATCTTCGGGTAGCTACAGGCCATGTTCAATCTCTGAAAATTAAGTGAGCTATGCCTTAGTGAGCTCTGCCAGAGGGTGAATGTGCCGTGTCTGGTTGCTTGGCCGACTTACTCGAAGCCTTCTGTGTTCCCATCATTAAAATGGAATCAGAGCAGAGAGTGACCGTAGGCATGATCTGCCCTTTCCCTGCAGTGTAGACAAGTGGGTGTGGCCTGCAGAGAGGGCCAGCACAGGAATCTTGACTCAGCCCTGTGCTCTAGACCGCAAGTGACATAAAGAAGGACGGATATTTAGATATCTCCTGCTGGTTGGTGCCATGTTCTAGTCCCATGCTGCCCGTGTCCCTATCCCACCCACCTGCACCTCTCACTTGGGAGGAGTGAGTACCCCGCAGAGAGGCTGCATTCTGCCCTGAAAGATCAGCTGGCTTTGGCAGAGGGTGGAAGCACAGCAGCCAGCTGTGCCAGGGCCGCTAGACGAGGCCTGCACAGGGCAGCCAGGATGCTCCAAGCGTCGCCTGTCAGTGGAGCCCTGCCAATGCCTCGCTTCCCTGGGCCCAGGAAGGTGCTAAGGCTGCGCTACTGTTCTCCTAACACTGATGTGCTTGAATGTGTCTGCTTTGTGGGGGAGGGAGCCCGTCGCCTGTCACGTGTGGATAAGCACGTTTCTTTGTGTCCCTCACCAGCATGGGCGTGAGGGTGATGGACACATCCTGGGTGGCTCGAAGAGGCTCCTCTGCTGGCCGGAAAGGGTCGTGTGCCCCACCCTCCATGCAGCCCCCTGCCCCGCCCGCAGAGCTGCCATCGCCTCTTCCAGAGCAGCCCCCGGACGACCCCATGGTGCCCTCGCTTTCTCCATCAAGCCTGGGCCTCCAGCCCGGGCCTGAGCGAACCAGGTAAGCCTGGGGCAGGCTGCCTGCAGTGCAGGGGGTGGCAGGGTTTGCTGTTCTCACTCCAGCCCTCTTGGATTTGGTCATTTCCCTCTGTTTCTAAGCATTTGTGTTGGCTCTCTGCATCATGCTGGCACCCAGTAAGTCATTCACAGCTCCCTGGATTATCAGATAAAGGCCAGGCTTCCCAAGAATAGCATCCCCAAGCAAATAGCAAACCTATCAGGTGGCAGCTTGCTGAAGGGATGTGAGGAATCTCAGTTCCCAGTTCTCCATTTCCCCTTCCAAAGCCATTATAACTTCCCTATTTTGAAATTAAAAATTTCAGTATCTCTCCTTTCCTCTACCTTTAGATTCATAGGGGCCATTTTTACTGCTAACATGGCTGCAAATCAGGGAAGGAGTGAAGGTCACGTTGTGCCAGCATGGGTGTGAACTTTGCTGTAGCCACACAATCCTATGTCCATTCTTTTAAGAGAAGAAAAAAGAGAAAACAAGCTCATTCCATCACTAGTTCAGTGAACATTTATGGAGGATTGTGTGCATCCAGACATGAAAGATACAATCTGGGCTCTTAAGGCATACACATTCCAGTGAGCAAATACTCACAGATAATTAAGGCACATGGTCATAC